TAAATACAGTCACCTCTCTAGGGCACTGTGCAGTCGTATATCGCGTGATTATTTCAACCGCGAAGAAATCCGAGAACTTCATTGAGGATCCGAAAGGGTTTCTAGATAAATTAAATGGCGTTGCTGTCTGACATGATCGTAAATGACTTCATGGGATGCGAGCTCACTCATCGCCTGGGTTCCACTGGATTTATCGAGGAGCCACACCAACGGACTCTTCAAAATTACACTTATGTGGTGCCTGTAAACGTGATACTTCAACTTCCATATCTCTGTTTCTGAAAAGGCTTTTATTTCATTACACAGTGCCAACGACAATGAACAGTTTCACCTACACCCGATTTCCCGGCAAAGACCATTGTTCAGAAGTTAGAAACTAGGACTCTTTCCACAGCGCATTCCGTTGCTCACTAGTGACAGCCCAGTGATACGAATCTTCTCTGCTAGTGGCATGATGATTGGTTCTTTCAACCAAAATACAGTGAACACAATTTTTGAGTGCTCCTAGATGACTTTGCAGTTTTTGCGAAAGGAACGACCAAATAAAGTTGCGTCTGACTAACTAACTATGCATTTGCGCCCATAGAAAACGTGTGTGTGTGTGTGCACTAATTCCTCCTATCTGGAAATCTAAATATGTACAACTTCTTATTGCCTTCAATTTGCAATGTAATTGTTTTCTTGTAACATTTGGTTCAATAATTCCTACTAGTTGAATATAAGAACAATTTCTTATTGTCTTCATTCGTCAATCTACGTGTTTTTTGTACGAGTGTATGGTAATTGTAAGCTAATAATGGTGGTAAGATCTACCGCACAGAATAGGAAAGACGTCAGTAAATTAGCATGGTTTCGCGATGTTTAGGAAGATTTCTGAAGTTGATTCGGCAAAGCAATATGTGATGAATAAGAAACACGCGCTATGTTAGCTGGTTGCGGTCCCATACAAGAGAAATGTTTTATTCCCAGGAAGACCGGACTATTTAGTATTCCACGCAGATGACTGTTAAGTAATAAAACTTGAGAGGTAATGACTAACAGCTGGCTGCCAGCCATCGAAGGTAAACAGTTATCTCGATGTAGACCGGTCGTTTTTAGACGCCCGTGCAGCCTACCTTCCGCTTTAAGCTTTTTAATGACACAGAGAGCTGTGACCACGCAAAAAATCTGTGTTATGCACCCGACCTGGCGCCATGGGCATGCCAACCGTGTTTTTGTATAGTGTACATCGCTTCGTCCTCACATGCTTTTTCACATTCAATAATAGCTGAAATCGGACATTTAGACCTGAAACCATCTTGAAAATGATGTCTGATTAAGCTGGGACGGCCTAATGTTCGTCGTCAACGCGTACGCACATGGCTGCCTGATTTGAATAAAATAGTTATTAGTTTTTCGGATGCAACGTTGAAATATCCTATATCGGTGACCGAACGTCATGCATGAAATTATGTTTTTCTTGCCAATTTGTTTTCGCGTGTTAGGAGAACTGTGGATCTCTGATAATCATTAACTTTCATAACGAAACAAAAGAAAAATCGATTCCTTAGAAAAGCTGTCTGCGAATATACGATCGTCACATTGTGATGTGACTAATATTTGTACAATCATTCGAGATAGGGGGACAGTTTGGTCACGCATAATTTAAATTCCTAAGTACCGTTACTTAAATTTATCAATGCATGGCCGACGCTTTTGATTTTGGAAGAGCTTTTCAGTTATTGATTCCGTCGGCGTTCCTGCAGGTAAGCGCAGAAAACGTTCTGTTGGTGCGTGTATTTTAGGAAGTAGAGCACGATGATGCGACGGGTGTTTAATTTCTGCTGACTAATAGACGATAATTCGAAAAGCGAATTCGGTCAACCTCGTGACTGCACGACTGCCTTCTGTTAATCAGAGTGTTTACCCAGAGAAAAGCCTTTACTTTACTAAACAGTTGGCTTCAAAATTGTCTGGCAACCCCTTTTGCATGCTGTTTTGACTGAAAGACGACTAGAATCAGTGGCGATCTAAAACAGACAGTTCGCAATAGACGCACCTAGTTTTCTAGGTCTCAGAAGCCTTCAAGCGAATCTTAGTCTTTGTAATTCGCAACTGTTTTGTCAAACAGCTGTGAAAAAAGGTCTCCTAAGCAAAGGTGCTGCTAAAATTACCCGAAAGGGAGATCTGACAGATTTTGATACGCATTGAAGTGAAAATTTTAACCCGCGTAGGTTTACAGTGAAGAGGTAGTTTTTTAAAAGACTTAACATCGTGTCAGCCATTGAATTCATTGCCAAAACTGCCGGTTCTCATTTAGCTCATCAATCTGACAGGGGCATGGCTGAGTTCCGATCGTACAATTCATTGTTTCCATGCGTACGAATCGAGGCTTGTTCAATGCGGCTTAGGGGTACTGGTATAATCCCCGCTTGTGTAGGGGCATTTCACGCCTACTGAGTCCTAAACAAACAGGTTTTTTCCGTCATTAACTTCATCCGTACGAACTGGAATATGTTCACACCGACTAAGAGATTCCAATGGTAACCGTTTGTATGAGTAATTTTCTCGCGACCCTCACACGTTTGGCTCTAGGGACTATTATAATTGACTCGGTGAGGCTTGCGCTCAGTTAGTTCTTTACAACTGAGGTAGCACTAATGGAAACCGTGCTCCACAACCATTGAAACGAAAAACAAACAAACGCCTTTTGCAGTGGCAGGGTCTTAGCTATTGATAGCATCGTCTACATTATCAGAAAAGGAGCTGGCAGAGAAACAAACACAGGCCTGTGGCAAGTATGACGCTCCCTACACACACCATTGGAATCGGGGCATTTTACCAAATGCAGCAGTATTACGGCAACACGGTTTTATATATTCGAAGGCAGCACCTATAGTATATGTAAGTGCATTCGGACATAACTAATCGTTGGGACAAATCGATCGTCAAAGCGTCATGGTGCAGCAGAAAAAACCGGCGAAATACGTGTTTAGGCATTGAGTTAGCACCTATGTCGGGCACGCGGTATGAAACCTTAGCCAGATATATTTATATGTATAATGGTAGGGGACGCTCGTCGATCGTTCTTTCGGAACTCATTCGTTCCGCTGTGTCCCGTAAGGCACAACGGAAAGATTGAGTTTCGGATGGACGATCGGCGAGTGGCCCCCACTATTGTATATTCCCGATCCGAACCAACAGGGCAACGGGCTCGTGGCCCAGTGGTTAGAGGCATAGTCTTCTGACTAACAGGTAGCGAGTGTTCGAGCATCGGGTGTTTCACACTTCGGGCTTGGGTATGGCTGGCTGACGACGGCTAATAAGCCAGAAATGGCCATTCCAATCTCCCTTGTCTTTGTCGGTAATGCCATTCTGCCTATGTATCATGCGCCGCTGTGCGGCTGCTGGTTGGGCTCGAGAGAGAGCCCTTAAGGCACGACGGAACGAGTGAGTTATGTATGAACGATCGGTGAGCGCCCCCTACCATTGTATATTCCCGATCGAAAACCGACAAGGCAACGGGCTCGTGGCCCGGTGGATAGAGGCGTGGACTTCTAAACCAACAGGTCGCGAGTTCGAGGCTCGGGTGTTCCACAATTCGGGCTTGGGTATGGCTGGCTGACGACGGCTAATAAGCCAGAAATGGCCATTCCAGTCTCCCTTGTCTTTGTCGGTAATGCCATTCTGCCTATATATATATGTATACATATATGGCGCACGAGCCGACGACTACTTTACGCACTCAGCTTGTACACCCTAAGGATAGGGTTGGCTACCTCGATAGAAAATAAGTCGCCTATAAGATCCCATGCGATGCCTGTGATGCCATCTATTTTGGCCGAACGGGAAAATTCGCCTCTACACGCATCCACGAACGCCAACTGGCGGTTAAGAGGCGGGACCACTTGTCTCAAATGGCCATGCACACTCTTGATACTGGACACACTTTCGTATGGGACAAAACGCGCATCGTCGGACTTCACCCATTTAAAAAAGGTCGAGATTTTCTTGAAGCCAGGCACTCCCATGAGCCATGCATCAACAGGCACATCGAGTTAGATGCCGCGTGCAAAATTCTCAGGGAAAAGTGGAAGAGACGAAAGCCGATCAATACAGACTGACACATAGGACAGCAGCTTACCGGCTGAAGCACCAAATGAGCATTGATCTTGTAGCACGTTTGAAGTGTCAATTGTTTTCTGCAAATTTACTCTAGCTTGACGACGACGTCGAAAATTTATTCAATAGAGTGTTCTTCTTTTCCCAAAGAACGTATTCTGATTTAAAACATATACATATATGACCATAAAAAGTCATGTCCCGGAGATTTAACTCCAAGTTCTGCACTGATTAATTTCTGAAATTATTCACCTGATTACTCTCTGGAGTTCATATACCGGAAACCGCTAAAGAACGCTGGGGGTCCCACTGAAGAGCCGAACCCCTCGCAGCTGTGTCACGCAGCGGCAGAATATCGGCGAAACACGTGTCTGGGCTTTTAGCAAGTATCTAGGTCGGGAGTACGGTATAATACCTTTAACATATATATATATATATATATATTGCTGATTGAAGCGAAAATGCGCGTTCCCGAACATAACTGAGAAGATAAGGCAATCACAGGAACCATGCATTTATTTGCCTGAAGTTTCGAAAGCAAACGAGCTTCCATCATCGGAGGTGGGTTGCGTACTGCACGTCACAGTATTTAAGGGTCTACTTTCGTGCTGCCGTGTCACTGACTTCCAGCGCGCTACATCACACGTTTTGGCGATGCGTTTTTGGTCTCATGACCAGACGTCTAATTGTCGCTTTGTATTTGTGGGCGATGCCGATATCCAATGGTTGCAAGATACAAGCAACTGCCTCGGAAACGTTCGCAATATATGGCAGCGCTCGCCAGACTTTCGGCTGATTTGCCGTTGACTGTATGGTTGGTCTAGACAGTCTGTTGCGTTCTATAATGCTGCGGGGGTAACCGTTGGAGATGAACATCCGCCGTAGGTAGCGGAGTTCGGCTACCTTGTCAGCCGGTTCGCTTCAGTGAGTGTCAACTCTCTTGTAGAGAGATCAACACAGCTTCGTTTGTGACACAGCGGGTGATTGCTGTGGTAGGACAGGACTTGGCGAGTGTTAGTGGCCTTCCTGTAGACCGTCGTTTCCAGGCTCCCGTTGACCTTGCGATGGACCAGAACGTCTAGAACCGCGATCTGATTGTTGTTGTCTGTCTCCATGGTGAATTGAAAATCGGGAAGAACAGATTTCAGTAGCACGTGAAAATTCAGTACCATTTCCCGTTTGAGAACGACGAAAGTGTCGTCCACATACCGCGCCCAAAACATTGGTTTGTATGTTGCAAACATCGACGTCTCTAACCTTTGAAGAACAGCTTCAGCGACAAAACCGGATAGTGGTGAGCCCATCGGCGTACCTTTGATTTGCTCGTATACCGTCCCTTCAAATGTGAAGAACGTTTGGAGGCAGTATTTAAGCAGTTGAACAAGGTGTCCCCGCTTCGGGGTATTGTTTGCCTCCGTGTATTGGCTGTCGAAGAGGTCGCTAACAGTTTCAACCGCCAAATCCTTTGGCATCGTGGTGAAAAATGAGGTTATATATATGCATATTAGCATACATAAATACTCACTCAGTAATGGGCGCAAACCGATCCGTTGGCGTCCCGAAGCGAGAAAGCTTCGTATGGGCGATAGGGGTCACAAATAGCCAACCACCTACCAAGCCGAAGCCCGCCAAGCTATGATAGCAGTGGGAAGATGACAGAGTCTGGGGGTGGGTTGATACAGAACTGTTTCGGGCCTGTTTGCCTTCATTTAGCCAACCATAAACCTAATCTCCATCATCCCAGTGATGGACCAGATGCGACAGGTGTGCCTGTGCACATGTTTGTGTTTCCGGTCCCAGCTGGTGATCAGTATTACGGTTATATAAATGAAAGTAAACAAGCCCGGAATAGTTCTTTCTCAGTCCCCCCCCCCAGATACTCTCCTCTCCCCTTTGCCTTACGAATATATCACTTAACCACCTAAGAAGGAGTTTGAAAAACGTTCTTCGATAGACTATCTTATCTCACCACTGCCTGCTAACATTTTCGCATGACGACTGAGGGAGACTTTACAGTTTGACCACAGTAGATATAGTCGTAAATGGTACATATGATCATGTAGACGACATATTTTTCCATTAAGGGAGCCAACCCCGTTCATAGGACTCACATGTTGTGTACGAGAATGGCTGTGGGCTGGTTTGCGAATTGCCTTCGACACGCACGGGGCCCTGTAGACAATGTCAGCTCTATCGAGGTAGCCAGTTTAGACTTTAGGTGAACAAGCTATGTGTACAATGCAGTTGTGTTTCGGCATGATACTTGTTTGTTGATTACTGAAAATCCTCTTTCTGGCTAATAAGCCAGAAATGGCCATTCCAGTCTCCCTTGTCTTTGCTGGTAATATCATTCTGCCTATATCATGCGCCGCTCTGCAGCTGCTGGTTTGACTCTAGAGAGAGTCCATAAGGCACAACGGAGTTCTGTATCAATCTACCCTTCAGAATCGGTCTTCTCCCGTATGCTACATATATGTACATTAGGTGGGCTAACTCATGAAATGTCAACCGAAATTCCGAAATGTGCTTTCGTTTCGAAAAGATTAATTAAGTAGTGTTGTAAAAACAATCATTTTGCAGCACAATTGTATCACCATTCAGCTACCTCGGGATGTCGGCTTTCCAATAAACTTTTTGTCGTCTGCATACAGGAGCTACACTCTGTAAAAATGACTGCTTATGTAGCATATATTTTTCTCATTGATTTTCGATGCCCCAAGAGCCAATTATATTCCATGAAAAGCCTGCATAGTAATATACATTCTTCTACTCATCCGATAACAAATTACGCCATCTTTAAATTTAAAACGAAGAAATGGTTAACTTTGATTTTTAAAAAATCTTTTCCAATTTGCGAATAATTTTGAATTCAACCGGCCGTTACACTTGCATTTAGGGTTTTCAAACTGCTAGCCATATACTCTCCGCGTACGGAAAACAGGAAGGGTATAATTTGGGTTTAAAATCTTTTTAATTGTGAGATTATTTAATACCGCGGAATGGCCGTTCATAAAACGGCATGCCTCTGCATTCACTAGTGTTGCTTGGAAAGTTAACAGTATGGCTCAAATGCACTGATAAATTGTATAAATCTCACATGGTTTCCTCTTAATACCGTAGAAAAATTACGGTTTACGGCTCGCGGAAAATATACGGCTTTTCATGAAATATATTTGACTTTTAGGGCATCAAAAATCAATGAAAAACATTCATGCTATATAAGTAGTTATTTTTACAAAGTCTAGTTCCTGCATGTAGCAGAAAAGAGGTTTCTTTGAAAGCAGGTACCCTGAGTTAGCTGAATGGTTATATAATTATGCTGCACAATGATTGGTTTTTCTACCCTACTTAATTAGTCTTTTCGAAACGAAAACGCATTTCGGAATTTCGGTTGGCAGTTCATGAGTTAGACCACTTACTGCATATTTTTCCCTTAACCACCTAAGAAGGAGTTTGAAAAACGTTCTTCGATTAACTATTTCATCTCACCACTGCTTGCTAGCATTCATGCATGACGAACACTGATGATTTGAAAAAATTACTTGGCAAAATAAAAAGAGTAAGTTAGATGTGTTGGCCCGGAGTTGGGAAAACCTACATTTACAAAACACGGTATATGTATGCGTTTGTCATTGATTGTGTAAATGGTTGTGAGCTTTGTTCAGTCCACCATGATGCAGTCAGGAGACTGAGGAGAAACTTGGAAACTTATGGCTGACATTAGAATATTACTCTGAAAATCCAGTCGAAACTGTTTAATATACCAAGTAAAGTGTATAATGGAAAAGTGGGGAGCGTCATATAAGTTGGCTTGAGGCATATGTTCCTCCAAAATTGCAGTATCCTCAGGCGGTATAGCTTATCAGAAAACGACATTAAATAAGGAAAAAGAAAATGCGGGCATACCTGGAGACTGCGGATTTTTTGGCGCGAATCAATGAGTAATAACAGGAAAAGCTGAAGTGGGCAAGAAGGGCAGGATTTATTGGTACCAAAACATTTCGCGACGGCTCTTCAGCTGCGTCCTGTCGCTTCATAAGACAGATAACGAGTAAGAAGAATACAACAGATTTGATTTCGTGCAGAAAATCAATGCAGAAATAGAAAGGTTGGAGATTTGGGTAAAGCTATCTAATCGATAAAGTTAGCAACTCAAACACATAGGGGAAGAAAGTGAAAAAGGAAAACGTTAAGGAGCAACATATGAGAGGAGAAAGAGGAAATCATGGAGCTAGAGGCTACCATGGCAATGTTAGGTTAACCACGTGTTCCAGTTGTTTACAAAGATCTGGTTTCACTCGTCGTACAAAAGGCCGCCTCCAGGTAGGAAGAAGAATATTGAAGTTTATATGTTCGGTAACGCAACTGTCGGCGGCTGGCTAATACAAGTGTCGACACTCGCGAGAATGCACAAGGAGAATACATTTTGTGTCAAGGCGAAGCACTGTGCTAGACAAAGAAATAGAAACAAATCTACAGTTTTAGTCCGCTAGTCGGATACGTAGATAGACTGGGAGTTTATTGCAAAGGCGCGCACTTAGAAGTCGTGTGCAAACCACAGTCAGATTGGAACATGAGGACTACCGAAAGTCCCACCATTTGGCAGATCAGACTACCTGTCATGACACCTTGCTTAATCAAACAATCTCAAATTGATCTCGAATGGATGCCAATAGACACGTCCTAGGTTCGCGTTGCAAGGTATTTCGTAATGGAGGACGTGGTCACTCCGTGGACCCCAAAACTTCCTTCCGAGTACTTGTTCGGGCACGAACAACTCGGACATTGCGTTACCTGGAGGCGGCCTATATACGACGAGTGAAACCAGATCTTTGTAAACAACTGGAACACGTGGTTAACCTAACATTGCCATGGTAGCCTCTAGCTCCATGATTTCCTCTTTCTCCTCTCATATGTTGCTCTTTGACGTTTTCCTTTTTCAATTTCTTCCCCTATGTGTTTGAGTTACTAACTTTATCGATTAGATAGCTTTACCCAAATCTCCAACCTTTCTATTTCTGCATTGATTTTCTGCACGAAATCAAATCTGTTGTATTCTTCGTACTCGCTATCTGTCTTATGAAGCGACAGGACACAGCTGAAGAGCCGTCGCGAAATGTTTTGGTACCAATAAATCCTGCCCTTCTTGCCTACTTCAGCTTCGTACCGGGGACAAAATGCTTCAAATTTTTTATCACATTTGGGTCAAGTTACCCGCCCCAACCTACTGCACCGTCCGGAATCCACCAAATCTGATAAAGTCAGTTGATTGTCCATTGCAGGATTTCCTAAGAAATTCACCTAGAATCCACCAGATGACTACTAGGCTCACGTAATTCATAGATGTTTTGGCAGATTTTCAATAATTCATATTGACCCAAATGTGATTAAACTCGCGTCTTCCGGCGGGGCCTCGTAGCTCAAGTGGTTAGAGCGTTGACCTTACTAAAGCCTTCCCCTTACTGCGTGTGTTCGAATCCCACTGAGGCGCCGAGTTTTCCACAGATGGGCCAATATGAAAGATCCCTGATCCACACGAATAGCACGTCAGATATAATACAGTGAGGTGTGCGTTTGGTATCTCCATCATTAGCCTCAATCTCTTCTCCCTTTACCAGCCCGTCGGACGACTAGTGATAAGACTGGATGCAGCTGTCGATGACGGCTGTCTGCTGTTTTCCTACAGCATCCGATTCTGCTTATCTAGAGCTCCAGTTACGAAAAATAGAGCTTCTAATTGCATTGGTAACCTCACTGAGGTGCGGTCGCTTTCTTGTTCCCCACAGCCTCAGGCATCATGGACAAGAGCCAAAAAGAGTTTAAAAGGATTCTGGAGACCTTGGGCTCGAGGCTGACCAGCCTCAACCGCGGTTGGTGTGTTTGCTTCGGCTACCAAAAGTGCTGGCTTGGCCGGTTCCAGAGTTCGCTGCAGAAGTATTGAATGCCCGCGGAGACTCGCCGCGACACTGTACAGGTGAGCGACCCGGTCCAGTCCGCGCCTCCACTACGTCGACAACATACTGGCTTCAGGATAACGGGGCCTATGGAACGGGGTCGTTAAATGAGTTTCCTTACAACTGAAGAAGCCCAAGCAATCCTGAGCAGGATCCTTGAGCACTGAAATTCTACTGATTATAAAGGACTGAAAGTCTCGGAACTAAACAGCTGTCAGAGGGACATGGTCGAAAGGCTATGGTCGCTGATTGCGGGTTACTTTGCAGTCTTCCGGTGTGGCTATGAATCCTTCACATCGCGATAATAGGTAAGCCCTGCATGTACCAGGCATCGGTTCGGCCTGGTTTGCACTGTATCGGCGACTGTTGGGAAATGCGTGCAATGGGCGAGTGGAACTAAGATACTCCCGATACCTGGTGCATGAGAACAGACTTCAGAGTCGATTATGCAGATTTAGCCTCGGATCAGACAGTTCAGAACATCTCAGCCACCAGTGAAAAAATTCAGGCTCATTGCCCATCCTCCCTATCGTGAACCCAGTACTGTCGCCCCAGATTCTATGCTACATTGTCACTTAAAACGCGGGAGAGGCGGTCAGTTCACAACGTAGTTGGACACTGTCCAGATCAGACATGATCACCACCGTGTCTGGCACAAGTGAGAAATCCTGGCGTCCATTCGGCTCGGGTTAGATGAGTCATGCATGCACGATACTCCTGGGCATACGAGCGAAGCCGTGTACAAACCAACTGTCGGCATTTCTAGAGCTTGACAATAAAATGGAGGGAGTAATCACGCAAGCAGTAACAGCATAACAAGGCTACATGCGGGTAGGCAGCCACAGATCGGCATAATAACTTAAAATAGCCCCTGAATCACTCATAAGCCCTGTTACTTCGTATGATTTCAACTTATATGTAACCGTTTTGGCCTGATGACGAGTTACCGAAAACACGTGTTTGTCCAATTGACTTTTAAAATATATATCCTGCTGACGTGAGGGATGGTCTGTAGTTCCACATCCGAAGTGAAGACGATTCGAGTCAAGCTAGTGCAGTAGGTGAATAGGACCTCATGCTTGTGACGCCCTCCATCACGACCGATCAAGCCTGCTCTACGCTCTAGGTCAACCGCGTCTCAAACGAGCCTCTTGCACGGCAGCCTGTCTGTGCTAGATCTCAAGAGAGGTTCAGTCAACTGCCATTCCAGTCGCGCAAGCCGTGCGCTTGAAGCCCCGCTCTCATCATGTCCCCAGGTGCACCTGGCTGAAATGTGGATTAGTTCCGACTCAGTTTCAGTCCCATTTCTATCTTCCATCTTCCAGGCGTCAAGTAACTGTACGAGGCCGTCGACCAACTGAGATTCTGAGACTGGAGGCAGTGGCCGACGAAATGTACAGTTGCCATTTATTGCGTACCGCACAGGGGCCATCTCGATTCGAGTCTAGTTCCGAAGGAGGACTGAGTTAGTCCGTCAACTGGCAGACTCCCAATCCATAGATGTTATGGCAGATTTTGAATAATTCATATTGACCCAACTGTGAAAACCCGGTGCCTCGGTGGGATTCGAACCCACGCAGTAAGGGGAAGATTTTAGTACAGCCAACGCTCTAACTACTTAAGCTACGAGGTCCCGCCGGACGATGCGAGTTTAATCACATTTGAAGGCGGCCTATATACGACGAGTGAAACCAGATCTTTGTAAACAACTGGAACACGTGGTTAACCTAACATTGCCATGGTAGCCTCCAGCTCCATGATTCCTCCCCTCTCTCCTCTCATTTTTTTTGCTCTTTAACGTTCCCCTTTTTCACTTTCTTCCCCTATGGTGTTTGTGTTACTAACTTTATCGATTAGCTAGCTTTGGCCAAAACCCTGACCTTGCTGCTTCTGCATTGATTTTCTGCACGAATTAAAATCTGTTGTATTCTTCTTACTCGTTGTCTATCTTATGAAACGACAGGACGCAGCTGAAGAGCCGTCGGGAAATATTTTGGTACCAATAAATCCTGCCCTTCTTGCCTACTTCAGCTTCGTACCGGGGACAAAATACTTCAAACACAAAAAAGATTAGCCTGTACTTGATTTGTTAAATTTTCATAGTAAAGTTAATAGGCATTTCACAATGCCCAACAGCATTGTTTTATGTTATCATAAAAAGTAAAATAAGTAGAGGCAAGACCCTGTAAGGCAGTGATTGGATGAGAAATCACACGCTTTCGTATAGGGAATGACATCTGGGAAGCAGTCTAATCGCAATGTCGTTATTTGTGGCATATTATAAAATCTGACACTCCTAAACACCTTCAGCTAATGCCTTTGAGCTGAATTGGCAATGCGTAATTCAAGAGCGCAATAGAGCATTTTCTTCAATCACACTTACGAATTGTACATTTGTGTTAGTCGCATAACAGGGAGATACCTGTTTTGCAATAGTCTCCGCTGATGTCTTTCAATTAAGGTATCTATCAGTGCTCATATAATAGTCATTGGAGGACAATAGTCCTGCCGATGTAATCGGACAGCACATCTACGACAAATACCGTGAAACATTCGAAGACTGTCTGCCCTCGGTAACTGTTTGCTTCCCTTTGCTTCCTCTGCAGTTTTAATGGTTCTCTTAGGCCAGACAATTTAGCAACGAATATTCGTGAATTGATTGCATCGACATTAAAACGTTTTAAAATGGTGCACTATCACGATGTGAAGTCGAATTCACAAGCTACTTTCTGGTGTCGATCTGCCTTATATCAAACCTACTGATTTAAACCTTTTAGTATTTTCATCTCCACGAGCTTAATGTATTGCTTTCTGACAGGTTAATACCACGTTAATACCAGAATAATGACTGTCTTACAATGTAAACCGCAGCTAGGAAAGTTGTTCAGGAATATGGAACTAACGCTCCTTATTTGCTGCAGCAATTCAACACCTTATCTTTCCCAGCAGACTGCGAAATATTTTTAAAATGGGGCTCGTTGCATCTCGCGCCGATTAGGCAGGCATGTTTAATTACATGGATGGACTAACATGTCAGGGCTCCTTCGGAATCTACAATCTTTGCCAATTACTTGCGCGTTTCGTAAATCCGGATTCGTGCATTAAAGAGCAGTCATACGTTTATTTTAAATAGAAAATTTCAAACGTAGATGAAAAGGGCGAAAATAAAGTAAGCGGCATCCACGTTAGGGTTTTAAAACAAGCGCTTGAGCTAAAACGATAAAAACATTTTGCGTTAAAGTGTAATGTCTTTTTTTAATATCTACGGTTTGAATTTGCAATAAAGGTCGATGCAATAAAAATGCATTTCAAGAATTTGAATGTTTTTATTTAAAATTCGACTATGATCAATGTTCAGGAGGCAACGAATGCTCTGCGTCGTTTACACAACGCTAAAAAAATAAATAAGCAGTCTAAAATATACATATCCCATCATACATATAAATGAAAAAACAGGCATCCCAAAAGAGATAATGAGGAATATGGAAATCTTTGGGAAACAGAGAACGGCATATCGATCTAGATGCCACATAAAAAATCGCTAAGGACAGATTCAAACTGACCCAACCACTCCCAAGAAGATGACTTTAATCAATCATAGAATCCTTCGTCAGACTCCGTCTAGAAGTTAATTGTTTTTACACGCCCGTTGTCTGAAGACGAGCCGAGGAACCAGTCTCGAAAATGTACACAATAATGTTTACTTTTCCCAAAGAATTCCATATTCCTAATTGTATCCCATCGTGTAGAAGGGTGTAACTCTTCCAAGCATTTCGGAGAATTTTCATACGCTAATGATCAAGTATAAGATCGTGCCAGAATTTTGACAGAAACCGGGCTACAAATTCAGACATCCTTCCCTTTCGGAACATTTTGATTTCATCACACACATTGCATAAAACATACGCAAATTCAACTGCAAAGGCGGTCCAAGGGAACCAGCCCTACGTGCGCGTCGCGGTGCCCTTAACGAAATTTGTTCAGCACCTAACATGCACGTTCGGAGACAGTTCTTAAGGCCGGCGAACGCATTTCCTCCTTTTGGGTTCGAGAAATATTTGCCTTCCGCGGACGCGACTTTCGGGATACTGAAGAAGGCGATATTTTCATGGATGTTCTCCGCTTTAACCAAAAAGAAGTTATGCATCCAACAGAGTAACGACACAAAACAATAACATTGGTAAACTAAACTATCTCGTACAAAAATCATAAACTCTTACGCTTTGTCCATCCATCACACTTGAAAGCACATTTGTTGAAGGCATCAAAGCTTCCGTTTATTCTCCGTATCGCAATGGGTGGATCCTTTGTGTCTGAAGACAATGAAAACGAACTCGCGGAGCTACGTTCAGCTAAAAGTGAACGACAAATTGTTATGTAGTAATTTAGTTATCTGTAAATTAAGAATTCAAATGAGTTATGGCATACTCTGGCACACTTGTGTTTCAATTTGGCGGGTAAAGCGAGTAAATAATAAGAATTCTTGAATGTACGATGTGGCTGCTTACCCTTTTCAACAAAGTGACAAACCTGAACACACATCACGTGTCTTTCGAAGTTCTCGCTGTAGGCTTTCCTTCCAGATACATTGTATGGCGTGCAGGGTTTTTCAGGTTTCTCACAAAAGTACGCTGTCGAATTCTCGGTTAGGTTTTCTGGAAGAAAATCAGTCATTCGATATTTACACTTAGTTCAATTTCGCATACGAATATGTAACACTAGGAAAACGTAACAAACGGTAGCGACGAACAGTGGAAGAACATACAGTACGGGACCTATCTCATGAAATCTGATAACGGAAACTGATGAGAGAATTCCTGGACAACTTTAACGCTGCGCATTGTGTTCGCTCATCAACATCCTTCAATAAAATGTCCTTTTCTGGTTCAGAAATTACGTTTACGTAATTACATCAAGTAAAATATCAGTAAACTTTGGCGAAAATAGACGTTGGAATATATTCGTGCAAATTCCTATGCTACTACATGACCTAGACTCCAGTTCCGCATCCGTGCCACTTTTTCATTAAAAGGATAGTAACTTACCCGCGACAGTTTTAATAAACAGATTTACCCGAACTTGAAAACTTATTTTATGTCCGATGTTAACCATGGTGATCAACCTGCTAACAAAAAGGTTATTTTAAGAAAACCCGAGCTTTTGTCAATTTAGAAATGTAAATTTATCAGATCTGTGCCATAAAGTGCAGTAATAACGCAGATATGGATTCCTTCGATTGTGTGGGCTGCAATGTTTTGCCGTTTGGAGAATTCAATCTGATATCACACAGATGACCACCACGGAATGGTCATTTCCAGCTTTAAACATATGACACACTACTTGTCGTGTATTTTTGCTTCTGTGCATATTATATTCAGAAACAGAACGTGCAAAACAATAGTTTCATCAAAATATCAATATTTATATGGGCGCTCTGCCGTGCATTCATAATCGAATAATGGAGCTTAAAAGCGAGCAAAACGATGGAAATGACTTAAATGTATACAGCAAAGCATGCTTTTGCCTTTACGTTAGAAAACTATTTGCATTATTTATGAACATGAAAGAAACGGCCAAAAGTTTCAAAATTTTACCTGGCATCACCGTGCAGAAATGCAAAGTACCCAGAGATCCGTCAACGGCGTTCAGTAATAAAACACTTTTTAAAGAGGTAATTTATTAAGGAAGGTTTCCTATTGATTGACGCCATATTAATTGTTAACTTTCGCTTTGACTGTCATTTTTCTTGAAAATGAAGTCGAATGTTTAGATGAGTCTTTGCATGTGACCCAAACGACCATCTTCGTGAAAAGGAGCGCCCGAGCATTCAATAATTCGGTAACTGCCTTCAAGAACAACCACATTTTAAAGTTCTTTAAATGCAGTTACTTCGGAATCTGTCTTCATAGGCGATCGGACGAAAACACTGAAAATCAGGAACTATTCAGCAATATTTCGAGGCCGCTCTGAAACGCAACGTAATCCAAAACGAAAGAAAAGTATAAGATAATTTAACGGAATAAAAGTTCTTCTTATGACCACAACATGGTATGTTTACCCTCACACCCGTCAGTTATATTTAAATGTATTAGTCTCCGACCGGCCTCATGGCATGTCGCTTTATGAAATATTTTGATCCTACGACGTCCCCATCGGCGAGGTGAAGCAAAATTCAGTTTTTCTTGTTAAACACCATCTTATTTAACTCCAAATAGTCAAGGATAACACAAAAAACTGGAAAACTGTTTTGGAATCTACACTCAGAATGAGGCAGTTGACAAATCATCATATATGAAATCACACTGCTTATTAAACGATATTTAGATGCAAACTTTAACAAAAAACGCTGTTATTAGACGTTATTGTATGTCCACTTTTATATTTACCACGTTTTTGGTAAAAGAATACATTCTATACATCCGAAACTGAACTTTACTTAATTAGAGCCATTTCTGACGTTTTCAGATATTGCGCTTTTCAAAATAAATCGGAATTTCTAAACAACGCAGCACTGCCTTTAATATTTATTTTATGTTTTTGATTATTTAAAACTTGTACTTACTTAACATAAAAATCAGATTTATGAAATGGTGTCGGTTTGCGGGTGATTGGCAATCATTTGTAAATTTCGACACATTTCATGAGTTAGATAACTAACTGTAAGTTAAGAAGACACAGACCTCGTTGTCTTGCACAGGCAAAACGGCAGCCTAAGCCCTTTGTTTTATCTTCTTGCATGTAACGGATAGGGGTGCATTCTTTGTGTTCCCTTTTGCAGAGTTCATAAGTTGGCAGTATATCGGTTGGAAACATGAATGGACATGCTGAAAGAAAAAACAAAAGATGAAATTGAATTTTAGTTTCGATAATCGTAGTCAGAGAAGTGTCTTTCTCATTTTTTTGAAGCCGTTACTGGACGAAACCTGCCCAATGTACACCATGTGCTTTTAGAAGATCAGTAATCACTTGGAGAGCTAGTAAAAAAGCGCAGCATGTTTAAACTTGCCGGAGATAACAATCGCGGACGTCAAAAGAGCCCCAAGCAAGTTCGGCAAAAGTATTCTCATCAGTATATTCGGACTTGAGCGAAACTTGCCAAACATATGTGAATTAACGCTATTTATGCATTCGGAGCGTTGTTGTCGCTAAAATTCTATTGGCTATAAACTTTAGTTTGACCAACGCTGTAGACTTCCGTGGATATGCACGCATTAATTTTCGAGGAATTTTACGGAATGCAGCTGGCGTGGTCACCTGAATTGTAAACAACAACTCCTTGACACGCCCTTACACTTTCGAATTCAAGGAAGGTCTTAGTTTTGATTGCTCCTGCTCTTTCCGTGTATTTACATCCTGTCGTTCCCCAAGATGTTCAATAAATTCCGATGCTATATTTAAACTTTATATTTACCATTATATTTTCAACCTCAAAACCAAATGCTTCCAGAAAAGGTTAACTGCATTTTCTAATAGATTAGGATGGCTGCTAATTCTACAATATTGTAGACCTTCCTGACGGCGTATTTGTCATATGAAAATTCATGTTTTCTGTGAAATATAATTAAATTTTGAAGGGCATCAAAAATTCCTGTTGTCAAATGATTATGCTTACAACCCTACTCGATTAGCCTTTTAGAAACGGAAACGCATTTCGGAATTTCGGTTGATATTTCATGAATTAGTTTATCTACTCTATATATCACAGCGAACCACTCATTTGGCCTATGAAGACCGCGCTCCAAATCCGGTATACACACAAATTGCACTATGACAGGGCACGCCCCCGTAATGCACGTGACCATGCTCTAAGTGTCAGGGCCGTTGAATGCCATCATGTCCGATGCCTAACGTTAGCATTCGGGAAACGAGCATTTAGTTAAGCATCATCTCTAACCTAAACCCTTATCCTTGAACTTGTTAAAATCCTAACTCTAGACCTACTCTGGTCTCCCTCAAAATCAAACTGATTATACCCGCATTACCTATTTGCTTCAATATCGAAACAATTGTGCAGTTGCTATAACTATCACAGCCATTGACTAGCATTATTACGCCTTGGCTCGAAAATTAGCAATTGTCATTGCCAAAAGTGAATTCTAATCAGATCCCTAAGCGCTACTCAAGCGTCTTCTATGACCTTGGCCCTGACTCTTAACTCAATTAAAACCCCACTCTAGTCCTACCTCTGGTCTCCTTGGAATTTAGAACGGTGTCATACGCCTTACGGGGCTGTTTCAGTATCCGTGCATTTATGCGTTATATGAATGTGCTAATGACGTTGGCCATGACAAGTAAAGTAATCAAAATCGGCAGACTATTGATTTTACCATCTCCTGCACCTAAGAGAGGACATTGCAGAATAATAAATGATTCACTGTCTCAGTTTCTCGATCAGATACCGACTAGATTCAGATACAACGGCATTAGCCATCAGCGCGTAAACAATTATCTCACACCGGACGACAATGTCTCCGAAGTTTGCAAGTATTCCCTGCTGCCCACGTAGCTGATTATCAAGGAAATACTTTCCTTGTATAATAATTCAAATCAAACATCTATAACTACTGATTTTGACTGTTTTGCTTATAACCTACAGCACTATGAGAGGACAGATTCTGTATGCATTAGAAGGCGTACGGGATAGCAGAGGAGAGCTATACTGCCGCAGACGGTGTGTACACCAACTCTCAAGCATTTTCTGTCTAGGTTGCGTCGTATAAAAGGACTCGGTCATTGTCCGGTTGTCGTGTTCCCAGTGGTCCAGCTCTGAGCGTCCGCATGAGCGGACCCTCGAATAATGTCTGCACCCTGAAGGTCGCGCATAGTTCGGCCGCGCGATGATTGCGAATGCACGCGCGGAGTTGCCACGCGAAACTTATTTTTCGACCTAGGGGCTCCTTGCCAGGTGTGAAAATCGGACAACCACAGGATTGGTAACGCCATGCGTTTAGCCGTCGTAGCATTTATGCAGTTGTTTACACTGGACATTGGCGAATATATGGGGCGTACATATCGAATATTGTGGGCGTTACTGCACGTGTTACCAATTATACAGAAGTGTAAAAACATTTCGGTTATTTGCGGTTCACGTGACTGACAACGCTGCATGACATCTGTGGTCATGAATGTGTTCCTCTCTATCTAATTAACTTTCGAATTCGCACGTAACCTGACTTCAGCTATTGCAAGCAAAGGTACAGTGAGTGACCGATCTCATGAAATATGGGCCGAAATTCTAAAATGCGTTTTCGATTAGGAAGGATTACTTGGTCACGGTTGTACTACTGATTATCTTAAGGCATACTCTTATAACAATTCAGATTTGGCAGGGTGTCGGCTTTTAAATGTACTTCTTTTTAATCTCCTGTAGAAAGCGTGCTTGGTAAAAAAATGACTACTTACGTAGCATGAATTTCTTCCATTGATTTTCGACGGTCTTGCAAATTCAAATATATTTTATAGAAACCATAAACAAAAATATGCTTTCTTTTAATCAATCAATAGAGAATCACGTCGTCTTTATATTTTATGCTTAAGGAAGGAGTATAATTAGGTTTTAAAAAAGTTTTCTAATTGCCGAATAATTCTGAGTCTGATCATTCGTTGCATTAGCGCTTAGTGATTTCACTCTACAAGGTGCATGCGTTCCGCGTAAAGAAAATAACATATTTTTCTATGCCTTTAAAGATATACATAGAGAATCCATAAAATTTTGCAATGGATGCGGACCATGTTGTACATTTCATAAGGAGCAATGGTAAACGGCCAGGTACGATGCTATGTGAATGGACATATCGCGGTCTTAAAAAGTCTCATAATTGGAAACTTTTTTAAAACCTAATTATACTCCTTTCTTAAGTATAAAATATAAAGAAGACGTGATTGTCTATTGATTGACTAAAAGAAGGCATATTTCTATTCATGGTTTCCATACAATGTATTTGAATTTGCAAGACCATCGAAAATCAATGGGAAAAATGCATGCTAATCAAGTAGTCATTTTTTGCCGAGCACGCTTTCTACAGGAGATAAAAAAGGGAGCATTTAGTTAAGCATCATCTCTAACCTAAACCCTTATCCTTGAACTTGTTAAAATCCTAACTCTAAGCCTACTCTGGTCTCCCTCAAATTCAAACTGATAATACCTGCATTACCTATTTGCTTCAATACCGAAACACGTGTGCAGTTGCTATAAATATCACAGCCATTGACTAGCATTATTACGCCTTGGCTCGAAAATTAGCAATTGTCATTGCCAAAAGTGAATTCTAATCAGATCCCTAAGCGCTACTCAAGCGTCTTCTATGACCTTGGCCCTGACTCTTAACTCAATTAAAACCCCACTCTAGTCCTACCTCTGGTCTCCTTGGAATTTAGAACGGTGTCATACGCCTTACGGGGCTGTTTCAGTATCCGTGCATTTATGCGTTAAATGAATGCGCCAATGACGTTGGCAATGACAATTAAAGTAATCAAAATCGGGCAGACTGTGGATTTTACCATCTCCTGAACCTAAGAGAGGACACTGCAGAATAATAAATGATTTACAGCCTCAGTTTCTTGATCAGATACCGACTAGATTCAGTTACAGCGACATAAGCCATAAGCGCGTAAGCAATTATATCATACCGGACGACAATGTCTCCGGAGATGGCAAGTATTCCCTGCTGTCCACGTAGCTGATTATCAAGTAAATACGTTCCTTGTATAATAATAATTCAAATCCAGCATGTATAACTACTGATTTTGACTGTTTTGCTTATAACCTACAGCACTATGAGAGGACAGATTCTGCATGCATTAGAAGGCATAGGGGATAGCAGAGGAGAGCTATACTGCCGCAGACGGTGTGTACACCAACTTTCAATCATTTTCTGTCTAGGTTGCGTCGTATACAAGGATTCGGTCCTTGTCTGGTTGTCGTGGTCCAGCTCTGAGCGTCCGCATGAGGAGACCCTCGAATAACGTCGCGCATAGTTCGGCCGCGCGATAATTGCGAATGCACGCGCTGACTTGCCACGCAAAACTTATTTTTCGACCTAGGGGCTCCTTGCCAGGTGTGAAAATCGGACAGCCGCAGGATTGTTAACGCCATGTTTTTAGCCGTCGTATCATTTATGCATTTGTTTACACTGGACATTGGCGAATATATGGGGCGTACATGTGGGCGTTACTGCACGTGTTACCAATTATATAGAAGTGTAAAAACATTTCGGTTATTTACGGATCACGTGACTGAAAACGCTGCATGACATCTCTGGTCATGAATGTGTTCCTCTCTATCTAATTAACTTTGAAATTCGCACGTAACCTGACTTCAACTATTGCAAGCAAAGGTACCAACTAATAGCACACAAATAATTCGCCGGCATTCCGTCGCACCAATAGACACCTGTGAGAGATTTCGGCTCATTTATGCGTCGCCCAATTTTTCTTCAGAGTCTTCTGGCAGGTAATTATGCCCGAATTGTCAACTCACCGGATATTAATGCACTAACTTGGAGTAGGTCGTTTATATGGAAGGTCTATAAAATCCCAGCGAATGTCTATCGGAACATTTTTGCAGATATCTGTCAGCCTTAACAGGATAATCATGTTTTCATTTCGCACGCCTGCTGGATCCGCTAGTTTATTGTCATTTGCGTGTACTATATCCAGTGGACTGGTATAACGACATCGCAATAATAATTGGCATTCAGTTGGAGTACATTTGAAGATAAACCGCGCACGCCGAAACGGAACATGTTATGACGATCAAATGATAGTCTGTCTGGAGGACCTTCATGCAATGGCATTTGGATGCGAACTACTGTGGGCGGGAATACAGTGTCGCAACACTTAGAATTGTCTATTCTCCCACCAGCCTGTCTTACGGGCGGACTACTACTACTACTACTACTACTACTACCACTACTACTACTACCACTAATGCTACTACTACTACTACTACTACTACTACTACTACTACTACCACCACCACTACTACTGCTACTACTACCCCTTATACCTCTGTTACTACTAATACTACTACCACTGGCGGGGATACAGTGTCGCAACACTGAAGAAAACTTTTCCCCCATCTACCACCACTGATACGGCGAAT